TTTTGGAGTTATGGCCCTGCAAAAACTTTCTGCGAGAGATCCTGATCTTGAAACGGTTTCTGAAGGGCGTGATTAGCGCTGCGTCCCTTCAATCAGAAAACTTCTGTCCCTCCACCCCTCGCAAAGAAAATTGTTCATACCTGACTGAGACAAAGCGTTTTTGAATCTTCAAATGATTTAAAACGTCGAATTGTTACAATTTATAAAAAGTAGATTGTGCGATCCGGCGGGACGAGATTTAGCAGGAAACAAGCTGACATTGCTTTCTAGGGAGTGTTTACGCTAGGGTGGCAACAGAGATTGCGGGGAGATTGTAAAAGTGAATTTATGGTTAAGATTGGAATAGTAAAACAATAGCCATAATGAAGTTTAGGTGTTGATTTTTTTTGTCGATAAGAGCGGTTTGTCTACAAACTGCGTGGATATTTTTCATCTGGGAAGATATACAAATGATGATATGAAACAAGCATAATCAAAATAATTCCAGAATGGGCTATAAATATACGAAGGGGGGTGGGGGTGATAGTGAATTTATGCTAGAGACTGATGATAAGGATTAGATGTTGATTGTTCTGGCCCTGATGATGAAAGCGATTTGTTTAGGAATTGCGAAGATAAATTTTCTTCTATAGCACAAAAAGAGGGTAACCCGTAAAAGCTTATAAGCAGCTATAGCTAAATGACGTCGTGAAAATGGATTTAAGGCAAGAAAGTCCATTAGGGTTCGGATTCTGAATAGAAGATCCCAGCAGAACACGCAAAAGTGACGACGGGCTCAGCGCGGCGCCCCTATCGGCGTTGCCACGGTGATCGCCGAGCGAAGGAAACAGCACGTCGCCCGCCGATTCAGTGGCGACGTTGTTGAAATGGGCTTGAAGGCACCATCCACCCTAATTGAGATTGGTGAGATTTTGACGTTTTATAATAGCGGGACCCCTAACTAAGTAATCGCCCAAGTCACGCTGCAAAAGATGAATTCGTAAGCGAGAAAGTGGTTCCAGAAGGTGGAAGCGGTCTAGGTGGCTCCGCCCAGCAACGTGTGTGGTTTGAAGATAAAAAGTCTAAAATCGGGTTCTAATGCATGTAGAGTTGTTATAAAGCTGTTCTTCATTATTATCCCAATTTCGGCATTTCCATCTATCTCGAACCCTGTTTTCGAGCTCATTATCTCCAGATCACCGACTTGATGGGCGGAGCTACCTAGGCCGCTTCTACCCAGAATCAAGCTTGTGGTGCGACTGTCGCAACGGGGGTCGTAAGAGAGTATCTAAGGTGGGATGGGGGTCGTAAGAGGAGGCTAAAGGCTAAAATACCCTAGGCTTCAAAGGGAATCAAATAACAGGCAGTTTGTTATGTTTTTTACAATAAATCTATAAAAAAGTGGAAGTCAGAATAAAAAAGGTAAGAAATCTGTAGAAATTCTCAAAAAAACATTTACAAGAGCTAAAAACACTTTTTGAGGATGTATTATTTGATAAAAATGCTAAATGTACCGATTGCCCTAGAAATCTTGCTTCCGAAGCCTTCCTGAAGTCTCACACACTCGACAAAAGCGAATGTCTTTACCAGCTGTGACCATCATAAAATTCTAAATCTTTTTGTAATGTCTTTCACGGGCTCATATGATTTATCTGTACTTTTTAGATGCTCCACTACATCAGTACATTTGGTGTTACTTTGTCAACTGTGGATTTTCTTATGATTTTATGTATGGTAGCAAAAAGTCAGGAAAGGGGGGGGGGGGTCGTATCTGGTTCGCATCTAAATTTCTTCGGAGCTATCGAAGCTTGTTGGCTGCAATCTTGTTGTAATATGATGCCATCCTCCTACTTTCCCTCATAAAAATTGCAGGCTGTTTTATAACTTCTCTGGTAAGTTACAAAATTTTAAGCTCAAAAATCCCAATTTTTGCTTTTTAGGATCGCATCTAAATTTGCGAGAGTCGCATCTGTATTTTTTCGAGCTTACTGCTCCTCAAGAGCTGAAACTTTTTCTTTCGATAGTCTGGGCACTATACTATAGAACCTGTGCTTTGCAGCCTCTCAATCTTTTCCTAGCCTTAGTTACGAATTTTCAAACTACCGTGCTCATGCACGTTTTTGACGTCGTTCTGGACGGCGCTCAAGAGGTTTGTTTCGCGGTAAAAACTGTGGAAGAGGTAGGAAGTAAGCTTCTTGGTCGAAAACATCTTTTGTAGTTCAAGAATGTCATTTTTTCGCCGTACAAAAATTTGTGTCGCCTACGGGAATCGGAATTTGCTGGCCTGAAGTATGCCTGAAAATTCAAAAAAAAACCTGCAGAATCTCAAACATTATTAAAGGTGTGTATGTGTGCTACAGATGATGGACGCGCACCCATTGGCCTGAAAATTCCGTTTCCGAAACCTCACTGAAGTTCTCACGCAGGTGTTTTTTGAGAGTGACATTAGTTTATGCATGTTACCGCGAGGATTGTGGGCAGGGGAGGTAAGGGGGATATATGGGGGGTGGGGAAAGGGGAAAGGGAAGGGGTGGGGGGATGGGTCGTACGGATGGGTACCTTTTAGAGGGGGGGGGGTCGTAAATGAGGGTCCCGGATCGCATCAACACGCTTGACCCTGCTTCTACCTTTTGGAGCGGTTTTCTTGCTTCGCAATTCATTTTTTTACAGCGGAAGCTGGGCGTTTGCCTAGTCAGGGGCCACGCTTTTATACAGCAACATAATCTCAAAATCCTCAGTTTGGGTGAACGGTGCGTTTGAGGTCCAAATTGTAAATTTGGGTAGACTAGTCTAGCTTTTCAACCCCCAAATGATAAACAGTTAGTATTAAAGGGTGTTGCGTACTCTGAAGGTAATGTGAATTACGAGCTATATGTAACTATACAAATAAGCTTGATTGAATTCTCACCCAGGTAATATACAAAGCCGCACGCTACTACAAAGAGGATTATGATGTAAGCACCTGGATTACAAGCCGTGGGATATGCCAAACATATCAGAGTATGTACAGGGAAATGAAGGGGTGTGAAGAGATTTCTTGATTAAAATCAAGTACAAAAGCATATTCTCTTGTTCTTTGTACTTCTTGCTCCCTATTCTGGGGTTTTATCTGCGCCGTTTTCTTGAGTTTGTACAGGACATCATTCTATTCGTGTGCTGCTTGTCATGTTAATTGCTATCAAGACAAAGTGTTCAACGGCAGGCGTACATACAGATTGTTTGATTTCAACCATGCTTGAATTTTTGAGGAGTGCTTAATAGCAAGCTTTGCTCCGCAGTTTCCGGAAGTGCCAGGGGGTTGCTCTTTAAAATTTTTTTTTTATGTCGTGAGCAGCGTCACGAAGGTGTGGCGCTCGAATTTCTTTCAAATAGGTTTGGCGATTTCTATTTATGGGCGAATTTTGCCACATCCTTTCTTCGGCACCTCCCGCATCGAAAAGCTCGGAAAGCGATTCTCTGACATCTCCACGATTGTCAACCAACACGCTGACGGTATAAATTGACTAGAAAATTCAAAGTTGAGTTCTGCCGGAGGCTGCCTTTGAGACTTCACAAGAACTAGTTAAGAGGCGATTGGCGGGAGCGTTATCCTTTTGTCACTTAAGTCTTGGGCATAGTATACGCGCTTTGCGTCGCGACCGATCTGGCCATTTACCAGATGTCTTCAATCGTCCTTGCACACCACAAATGCATAGTATGTGTAAATTCCTTGAGCTGATAAAATGCACTACTCTCTGCACATTCAGGGTGAGCTTATGATAAGTTAAGAACAACTGGAATATCGCCGAATCGTGTCGCGACTCAAGTCACGTGTATGCCCGGGGTTCAGAAAGCTGAGGAATAGAAATTTAGTGGGTGCTACAGATTATCTCGAAAATTCTTCGATAAATCGAATAGAACTGCTTTGAGTGTCAAATGTCGATTTTGGTCCGTGATGGAAAGCTATTTTGGTGCCTGAGAATTTTGATTATTTGGTCTGCGAGTCATCCTAACAACAACGTCTGCCGAAAAGCGCTTTTCCTGAGTCACTTTGCACTTCCATGTCATCTCTCTATCTACTGTCTGTCATTCTCAAACAAGACGGCGCAAAAAAAAGTCGAGCTAAACCCTTGTGGGTAACAAACCCAAATCTTTTGATTTTTATACGTCTGGAGCAGCGTGATATGAGACAATTTTCCTGAGTATCGCGTATATTTTAAAATTTGCCCTATATTTCTTTAAGACTCGTCTTCCACTCCTCAAGTTTTGTTTACTCAATCAATATTCACGTTGTCTGCGCGATCTGCACGTCCCTACCGTTTTATGTGTGTCGAAGGTGGAACAAGAAGCCATCCCGTTCACAGCTAGAAATCATATATAGTTAAAAACGTATGTGGCTCAAATATTCTAAAAAAAAATGTGTGTATAAAATCACTTTTTACACTTACTGAGTTTTTTTTGGGACACTTCAATGCGGTTTTGGACAAATAGTGCAGCAGTTCCATCAAACTTAATTGACAGGGGCTTTTTATTCTCGCTGCTTACTTTTATTTTCACTATATTAGCAACGTAAACTTCCTTGTTTCTTAAAAATATTTCTACCATTCATTTTCATCAATATGAATGCTAATTCTATCGTCTACCCCTCATTTTTTGTTGCGATTTCAAATTATTGTTTTCACATGGCGTTCTAATTTGTTTGATTTATGAATCATAAATCGAAAAGTTTTTGAATTACACGTGAAAGCCGCATGCGCTTTCAAAACGATTTGTTCTTAGAGGGTTGAGTCATTGTTCATGTGGATACGCTATATGTTTTACAATTTCTATCCTCTTGCGCTCAGAATTTGAATTCTGTTCTAATTTTTCTATTTTCTCTTGAAAACCTCCAAAAATAAGATATCTTTTGCAAATGTTTTTTGTAATTTCTACGATCTTTTTATTTTTGACTATCATATCTGTTTTTCATGATTCATCGCTATTTACGTTTGCGCTTTGAATTTCTTAGTTACGGCAATCTCTTGCTCGGTTTTAGGTGATTCATACTAAACATTGACGAAGATGACAGCTGGTGATGTAGTCGTGGTGACAGGATTTGGTGCATTTGGTAATTTCACCGAAAATCCAAGTTCACAAATCGTGGATCTACTAGAGGAGAAGAAAATACCAGGTTTTTAGTCGTATTTTTTTTTCGAAAACAAAATCTATAGGTACCATAGTGGCGATTTTGCTAACTGCTGTAATAGCTGCAATCGGTGCTTGCGTAGTCGATGGTTGAGCGACATTTCCGTGTCCAATAGAGGAAGCGGTGAACGTTGGTCGCAGGCACTGTCCTCAGGATTGAGTGGCTGTTTAGGCAGAATAGCTTTGGGATGCAAGCGAACAAATTCATATCACCCTACGGATATCCATTTCCAAATTTTGATTTATATAACTGTGTGCGCCTTTCGATATTGCTTTCTTGCTTCTCTTACAAATTTTCCTGCGCAACGCAGCGCTATCATCTAGACGCCCTCAAGACCTAAGGAGTACTTCCCCCATTCCGTAAATCGCTACATTCACACGATTTGACCATTTGCCGGATGTTTACAGAGTTATGTACGCGGGTATCAATTTTATAGGCGCATAGCTTTTGTAAGCTGTCGCAAAAGCATCAAGTCCGGCCTAAGTAAAGCGCCTATGACCAATTATGAAGAGTCGTTACAGTGCCAGATCATGCAGCGCCTGGAATGCATGAGGTATGTCTTAGGTTAAAAGCGTTTTACACTGTTACTCTGGAAAAAATGCGTCAAAGGCAGCGAATGCTGCAATACTCAAAGGAAGCTCAACTCTAGACACTTTAGCTCCGTTCGTGGAATAACTTAGGCTCACAACCTCAAAAACTCGTCCAGCATGCTCAGGGTCAAGCAAGGGGTGTGGCACAGAATCGTTGGTTACGACTCCTCCCCCCCCCCCCTGATTGCTGTCTTAATAAGACCCCCCCCCCCCTGAATTATATTGAAGCTGTGGCTGCCACAGCTCTAAAGGGGGTGTGGCACACCCCATTAACTATATCAAAAAACATTTTTAGCGAACAGTATTTATACGCCATACCACCCACCATCGGTCACGAGAAACCATGGGATGAGTCTCCGCGCGCGCCGCATACGTAGGAATTTGATACTCGAGCGCAATGCTGGGTATTCAGATTTGAACGGATCAACTAACTCTGCTTCTTTTGATGTTTCTTTGTCTATCTCTGCTATACATTCCTGCATTAGTTTTCGTTCGTGTGCGTGCGCATTTTATACGTTGCGATGCTTCAATATGGCACAGCGTGAACCAACACCCAAGATGTTTGTTTGCCATCATGGCCAACACTCTGAGACAATGTGTATCTCTGAGTAATCTCACTTCGAAATCAATACGGAACCAATTAACTCGATCTAAGCTAGAACCAACGTGTGCGATGCGTTTTCAGGATCTGTACCTGAAAACGCATCGCACACATTGGTTTACGCGCTCAAATTTGTGTTGTTGGCATCTGAAGTAGCTAATTCACACTAAATGAAGAGTGCGAATGTTCTGACCTGTTTTCTCACGTGAGCATAATTTGAGAGTGAATGATAGCATCACTCAATGAGTCTGGTTTGGTGCTCCCTCGAAGGATGCCTCACCATTCAAAATGAGCCATAGTTGACGCAAGCAAGCAGAAGGAAGGGGAAGGCTCTGCGAAAAGCTGAAATGAAGTGAAAAAGAGCAGGAAGGTACGACTGCGCATGGTTCTGGTGCGGTCAGTCGCGCTCGAGTACCAATTTCCTACGCATGCGACGCGCGACCGCAGCCTCATCATTGAGTCCTCGCGACCGATGGTGGGTGATACAGCCTATATATGAATCGATGACCTAAACCTCGTAGATTCCATAGGAATGTTCTAAGCCTGATTCGTCTTCTTAGCTCTGAGTAATATTTGGTAAAAGCACAGCCATTAAAAGCGAAAAATGGGAAAAAGGTTTTGGTTGGCTTTTAACTCCACAGTTTGGAGATAATCATTTGAGCTTGCTAAGCGTTGACCAAGATATCAGCCACACTTTATTCACGGCCAACGTTTCGGCCGTGAATAAAGTTTGGAGATATTTTGAAGCGAGATTTTTGAGATGGACAAAGAGGGAGTAGTGCTTTGTCTTGAGTGTAAAAGCGGATAGCTAATTCACCTTTGGAGCAAAGTTAACCATGTTGGAATACGACCATTTCACTTAGGTAGCCTAGTATCTTGAATCTTCAGAATTCGCTCAAACTTTGTCTACAGGGGTTAATTGACATGCTAATTATGTATATGATACGAATATCATGTTATCATTTTTATCAGATTACCCAACTACCACCCCCTCCCCTTTTGACTCCTCAATACGACCCTCCAGGTGTGGCGTGCCACACCCCACGTTTGACCCTGAGCATGCTTCCCATCTGCGTATCACCTTTAAAGTTTCACTCTTTTCTTCCTCGTTCATTTTTCTTCATCTTTTCACCGATAACCTGTTACATTTGCTAGCGATACAAATAAGCCGAGAAGTCATCTGCTATAGTCATCAAGATTTACTATCCCTTCAAAGAGACTAAAAAGAGCGAAATTTACAAGCTATCTCAGTTGCAGTGCCGGGTGCACCAGTGGCTCGGATCACGCGCGGACCCCTGCTTGGGCTGGCACCGCGTTCGCGTACATGCCCTATGGCCATTTTTCTCTTCTAATTAACGGAGCTCGACTCCGAGCTTTTTCCGCGCTCAGGCATGAGAAAATGACCAGAGGACATGTTCGCGATCGCGACGCTAGGTCTGGGCTGCGCAGCCACGCGGGACCCGCACTCGACACCGCTGTTGAGATTACCTGTACAATATTCCATTTGTCCCAGAGCATTGTGGTAGAGTGCCAAAGCTTTTCACTGCTTGAATTAGGTCGGTCCGAAAGTTGTATCGCTCTTTTCAAAAATCGTTACTTCTTAGTTTCATCATTATTTCATGTCATTGTTACTACTGGAAAATTAAAGTCTGAGACGCTTTCCTCTCTACTAAGCTCTTATTGCAGAGACAGAAACAGAAAAAGAGATCAATCAAAGTCCACTGATTTTGAGCAGGCCTGTTATAAATCTAAAAACTGTGCAATATAATATGAAACACTTAAGAACATAAACGTTTTCTGCTCCTCTTTTTGGCTGAGCGAAATCGACAAGCTCTTTTTCTGAGCTGTTTTTTAAAATTTGTGATTCTCGAGAAAATGCCATAAAGTCTGATTTCTCGTTTTCTGCTGTTTTCTTGAAAATCACAGCTTTTCAATAAAAAGTTCGACAACTAAAAAGAGGTAAGTCATGACTATTACTAATGACTATTTCAGCTTCTACTGCGCAGTTTTTAGATTCTGAATATGCTTAAAATAGCCACAAGGATTTCTAATCAAAGCTTAGTAGAAAGTAATGAAGGTGTTATGTAGCGCACGAATTGCTTTTTCTAATAGTATTGTTATTAGACAAGGCTGTCGTAAAACTAAGAATTTGCGATTTTTGAAGATAGTGCGACAGAACATTGGATTAGCCTAATATATTATCTAAAGAAAACTGAAAGACTGGAAATGTTCCATTCAACCGTTGAATTCTTTCATGTCATTTAATCTTGCTAAGGCTTGCCATTATAAGCAAATTCACTCTCTGGATGAGTTGAATAGGTAGTGCCCAAAAGTGCATTATCTAAGAGTTTCAGCTACCATCATTAGAAATTTTCCAAATTTAGCATTGGTGGTTTGGCAAAGCCATGCTGACCAGATCTTGACAAAAAACCCTTGCAAATGACACTTTTTCCGTCTCTCCGTTTAGCGTAAAAAAATCTTACAAAACACAGCACTTTGTCAAAATGACTTTTTTCCGCCGTAGGCTAAAATTACTTCCGGGAAAAGCCAAAGTGTTTTTCTTTTCATTTTTTGGTTTCAAGGTTTCGATGGAAAGCTGGTGACTACAAAAATGGATGTTGCATATACTGAAGTTGAGGAGACTGTGAAGAAGTTGTGGAAGTATGAACCCAAGGTTGGCATTTATAGCACAGTTGTCAGTATTTAATAATATTGGAAGACATACCTACATTTTTTGTTGAATTTATCTTTTTCCATGTTTTCCATATTTTCTGGAATTTTTGTCTTTTTCAGTTAGTCGTACATCTGGGTGTTCATGGTTGTAATCGCCACATTAAGCTTGAAAAGAGATCATTTGGGAAGGGATATACAGCTTATGATGTCAAAGGTATGCAATATGTGGAAGTTCTCAGAATATGTGCTTTGACTGACAGCAATGAATTCCAACTTTTGTCATTCAGGTTGCGTACCAGAAAATAATGTGTGCTCAGCTTACAGTCAGTGTTCGTCCTTTATCCTGAACACATCGATAAATTGTGCTGCCATAGCTGCTCAAGTAAAAGATGAGATTAACTGCAAAGATCTGAAAATCACGGCCTCCCTTGATCCTGGAAGGTAAATTTTGCATCTGTTCTCGTCTGTGCGTGCGTAGCAATAGGCCAAGTTGAGCGAAAGCTTGGTAAATAAACGTTCTTCAAAGAATTATAAAATTACGCAATCAAACCGTTTTTTACTTGTGAACAGGACCCGGCATGAAGTGGCTTTTGAAATGCGAAAAACGAAGTCCCCTTGACGCGCGAATTTTCACGAAGCTTCCTTTGACCCTAAATTAGGCAAAAAAACCCTCAAAAAACGAAACGTCGACTAAGGAAAAAAATTTCGCAATTTTTCTGTCTTTTCGGCCTCAGAAACGATAACCCTTTTGCGTTTTGTCCCAAAAACAATATCCAACATGCTTATGAAGCGCCTATGCCGAGCTCAGCTTGTGAATGATTAAAGTGATCTTCAAAATTTCAAACGATTTTCAAATTAGCCTAAAGCCGCTTAAATTGTCCAACAAATTTGAAAAGGGTTGCAAAAAATTGTCATGCCCTTTCACTCAGAAGAATATCGCGCTTCCTTCTCTCCTCCTCTTCCAAGAAACTCCTTGGACCATCACGGGTACTATCATTGCTTGTTTATTACTTTTACCAGTGTAAAAGTAATAAACCGTTACGAACTCCTATGGCCACCTTATAGGGTTAGTTCAAAGCTATCCTTTTCATGAGATCCCTCAACAAGTTTTGAAAAAGTTAATATTTTCAAAAAATCCATTTAATATTTTCAAAAAATCGATTTCGATAGCTGGCTTTTTCGACAGAATAACCGACTTGTCGATCTGAAATGCATCACTATGTAACTTCAAATTGCTGAAATGAAGTCCTCACTCTTTTAGGAAAGTACTCAAAGGATAAATCAGAAAAGTTTTCACAAGATAATGCTTTGGAATTAACTTTCACGATAAAATCTTGCCGGAGTTAGCTGTAAAATACAGTCGTGGTATACTTTGTGGCAAGTTTTTGATAAAAAATCTTTAGTTCAACTTTTCGCATGTGCAGCAGTTTATTAACCTTTAAGCGCATCTGATTTCAAAGCTGTTACTCTTTTGTCATGTAATTTCTATAGAACAACCTAAAGTAATGACATTTTGTGAATATTTTACACCGTGTATAATGCAGTGTAATCTTTCTCTTTCAGGTACTTGTGCGCATACTCGTTTTATTTGTCGCTCTCCCACGATGAATCTCGATGTCTTTTCGTTCACGTTCCTCCATTTGACTCGGTTTGTACACTGGAAATCGTCACCGAAGCAATTCAGAAAATTATTCTTGCTGTTCTGAAAACTCTGGATTGATTCTTTTTTACTTCAATGCTCCTAATATTCTTGGCTCATTTTGATTTTTTGGGGCCTACTTGCAAAACCAGTACTAATGGTTAGCATTTACTCTGGTTTCTAAAAGTATAACAATTATGCGAACTTATCGCAAAACTATGACTGACTCTTTACCCATCATCAGTTCAATCCACCTTCATTCTATGTTTGTTTCACAGCACCTATAATTTTCCGGTATGACGAAATTGTGATGATGTTCGAGTTTTTCATGAACAGTTATAACTTGGCTGCTCAGTTTTTGTGATCTTGTATAGTAAAACACTATCCTAGGTCCTAAAGTCTGTTTGTCTGATTGCAAGTTCAGAATTATTATGCTACGTAAATGTTTATCATAGTACACTGGTTCCGGCTATAAAAGCATATATTATGTTTTTTGTTTTGCTTTTCCTGCAGTCAGGTAAAAAGGCATTATCTCATTTTATGGTCCTTAAAAAAGGCTGTCGTCGTATTTATCAACGGATTTGAGTCCTGAAACTATATCAAGATAAAGTCTACCTTGAAGCGTTGAGTAATCATCAAAGCCTCAAAGTTACAGTTGAGCAGTTTTTCCGCGTATTATAGTGTGCTTGCACTGGAGCTGAAATGCGACAAAATTTGCGCGTGAACAGATAGCAAAGCCCATGGTGCCGGCATTGTGCACGCGCAATTAGCCGGCGTCAGAAGCGCAGCTATTAGTTCACGCGCAAATTTTACCGCATTTCACCTTCAGCGCAAGCACACTATATTAAGGTGAGAATCTATTCGACTGTAAAATCTACGTGTGATATATTCTTCACACAGTACGTTCCAGCATGTATAACTATCGGGTGAATTTAGCGACTTTAGTGATTTGGCAGTTTGCCAAATGCCTTCAGATCCAAGCACGAAAACGAGAAAAAGGGCTCTAACGCAGAGGAGGAAACAGTGGGTGGGCGGGGTCTTCCCCACTGTGAATGCGCGTTCCTAGCTTCCATAGCGCTCTCGCTTCGATTCAAGTCACGTTCGCACTTGGCCGGTGACGATATCCGGGCCAGGGCCCCGCACAGATCGTCTGGAAGCAGGCTAGACTTCGTTTTTGGAGCAAACAGCAAAGGGGATATCGTTTTTGATGAGTCGGAACCAGGGCCCGGCGGGGGTGGCGCTTTCACAAGCTGGATATCGTTTTCGGCCCGAAAAAGCAAAGGGAAGTCGTATTTTGGGGTCCTTTACCGATAAACAATGCACATATCATTCTTTATTCGTCATTCCTTGTTGATGCTACTGTCCTATGAACTTAGATTCCAGCAATGTGAAGATTCTGTGCTCCGATCGCTCCTGCCCGCAGGCGGGAATTCAAATCGCAATTCTTGTTAGAGGAAAATAACAAAATAGGCTCGTTTTCAATGCACAAGTAACGATATGGCACCAAATTTGCTGTGTAGTTGGAGGACCATGAGCACAAAAAAAGTATGAAGAATTATGAGATACTTATGTGAATTTAAAAAATGGTAAGTGTTTTTCGAAATTAGGTGGCTCCTGCGCCACCTGGGAGCCACCTGGGGTGGCTCCCTGCTTCTCACATAAGTTCCCGGATTTCTTTACATAAATGTGGACTAGGTCGAGAGTATTACTATATGTTCAAATCCGCTTCCAAAACGACCAAGGCACCGCTTCGATACAGCCCCAAATAGGGTTCACAGCGTTATGATCGGCCTCGGAAAGCGCGCTCCAATCGCAATCGGTTATTGTAAATTGTAAAGTTTTGCAGCTGACTAATAAATGAGTAGCATCTTAGATATATAAACGTCAAAGTTTGTGCAAATCTTGACCCTATGTTTTTTATAGATTCCTTTGCGGATGAACCCATTGAGCTGAAACCTTGATGACCCGGGCTGGACCAGGAAAGCCAGGTAGTATTACTATAATAAGCGCTGAGGCCGCCCATCTTATTATTTGTGTATATCTATTGTCAGGGACTTACGGGGGTCAAAAATAGGGTCAAAGGGGAAGTCGTAAGAAATTTTGGCTTTAAAGGGGATATCGTTTTCAAAATTCTGAAATGCCACCTCCTGCCGGGCCCTGGTCGGAATCGAGCACCTAGAATAAGCGCCATTCAGTCGAAAGCAAGCTTTTCGGACAGGTTATAACACGATTGACATGCTCTATCGTGTATGGCGAAAAGTGCGCGCGATTTGAAAGCAACGCTAAAATAAACAAATTGCTTGTTTACAGCGCACACAAAAGCATATGACACCAAAATTGAAGTGTATACATAGAAAATTATTTGCGAAAGTATTATGTAAAAAGATTTGAAAATTTATGTAAAATAATACCTTTTCCAAAATCAGATCGTCTCCAGACGCTCATATATTCTCGTCACTTCACATGAGTCTCGGATCTTTTTAGCATGGATGGATTCCGCGGTCAAAAATTTATCCCTGAGCATGGAGACATTTTCATATCATTGCCTTTCCTTCGTTTTTTTTTTGCCTTCGTTTCTTCTCACTTTGTTAAATATCGCGCTCTATTGCCAAAGTCTTGTGCATGCGTAGTATTCAGTTCCAATTTGATTTTCACTCTTATCTTAGGTCTTTTCTTTCAAACTAGTAAATCTTTCTTGTTTTCATCTTCTCCTAAGCAGGGAGATCAAAGGGGACTTCGTAAAACTTCCGAAGGTCAGGAGAGACTTCGTTTTCAGAAACTCACAAACCCTAGAGACCGACTCATGCCGGGCCCTGGTCCGGGCGGCTAACGGAATCGGGAAGATCGCTCCAGAAGCTGAGAGCAAGAATTTACAGTGGGAATGACCCCGCCCACCCTGCTGCTTTCCTCCTACATTAGAGCCCTTTCTCACCGTTTTCGAGCTCTCCAGTGTGGAATTTCGGATTCAGCATAGCGAATAGGCCCGGGTAAGCACAAAATCTAAAGACTGTTTGCCAGGACACTGCCTTCAATGATTATAGCCCACAGGTTATTGCCGAAATGTTAGTTGTGCGTGTCGCAAGCCAGAGTGCAGAGTAGGGAAGAAGTAGAAGCGGAGTGGACGGTACTTGATCCTTTTTGTTTACGCACTTTTTTCAACTTTGTTTCTACAAGTTTCTGCAGCTTCTGTACAGCTCAGCAGCGGTGCTTTTCCATTTATTCGAGCGAACATCAGCTCTATCGTTCTCTGCATCATTTATTCTCTGATCAACGTAAGAGACACGAGCACACTTTGCGTACGTCTGATTAACAAACTTATAAGTGCGTTTAAAGTTTTGGTAAAGCACTAATAGGAAATCGTTCAAGAACATGTTCAAACTTGCGACGTAAGGCGATTGTATAGGGGGGGGGGGGGAGGGTGGGGTTTCCGCTTCAACGATATCCCTTCTGCTTTTAATTCCAAAACGATACACAGCTTTCCCCGTAAGCCACCTGTGCCGAGCCCTGCCTGCCCTAAGTCTTCAGCTGGCAAGAAGTCCCACGAGCTCATCACAATGACCTAGTAGTTCTAAAAGGATCCGGGATAAAATCGACTTCAATGGAGACATCGAGAGTACTTTTGCTGGATATGTACCCGAAAACCCTAACCTTTTGAAGAGAGATTGTCCAAATTATGTCTGCATAAAAGCAAACACCTTCGATTCACGTCTCCGTCAGCGGTTTATTTTTGCGTCTATTGATGCAATTCACCAATACTGTAATAATTCGAGTTTGAAGATTAGCATGATTTGATTTTACAACACTATCGGCGACTACTTAAAAGAGTAGTTGCCGATAGTGTTGTAAAATATGATAATAATAAAAATTATACACAATACAAATTACAAGATCCGGCCAACCATTAGTTGCATTAACGTCCCAATAGAGTCATTTGACGTTACGTCGCTATACACCAATGTATCCAACAGCGACGCACAACAGGCGCTTGCTGAGATGCTTGATGAGCACAGTGCAAATATGATGACATATGGCCTCAGTAAGACGCGGCTTATGACTTTAATAAGAGAGTGTCTTAGCTGCAATGTATTCAGGTGGTCAGGAGAATATTATTCACAATTAAGGGGCCTGACAATGGGTTAGAGACTAGCACCCGTGCTCGCCGTGTGCTTTATGAGCAAAATAGAGAAGCCGATGCTGTCTAGAAATCCACTTATGTGCTGCAGGTACATAGATGATTGCTGTATAAACGTCGACTCAGTCCGAGATGGACGAATGCTTTGAAGTATTAACCCAGCAATATCAGTACATAAGAGTTACGAGAGAGAAACCAAACGAAGGTTGGTTGCCATATCTGAACACCCAACTGATGTTGACCACTGGCGCGGTACGAATAAAATGGTATCGCAAAGCAAGCCGTAAGAACATCCTTTTACACGCCAAGTCCGCCCATCCTATTGCCGTTAAACGTGCTGTTTTGCGTAATATGTTCCAAACAGCGATTAACATCTGTAGTGGCGAGAGTGAGGGCCAGGAATCTCGAATGCTGGCGTCCGAAATAGCAGCATCAAACGGCTACTATTCGGCAAAGTCTACACGCATTCGAAGAACAACTGCAAGACCAGATGACAGATCTAGCTTAATCCCTTTTAGCTTACCATTTATCTCAGACAGGGGAACACACGCGATACAAAATTGTTTGGTGCAAGCCTAGCTAGAATGTCGTTCTCGTTAATATATCACGGAAGAACATCAGAAAGCAACTTGTGCGTAACAGATTGTACGACACAGCTTGCACCTCTCGAGGCTGCGTCATTTGCCCTTACGGAAAGCCGGGGGATTGCGCAAGATCTGGAGTAGTTCATGAATTAGAATGCCTAGACTGCCATGCCACATTTATCGGCGAGACCGGGCGACCACTCCTCAAACGCATAAACGAGCACTTGGCGAGTAAAAAACGGGAAAACGTAGCGGCCCCTTTGGGAAACATAAGAAAGTTGATAATGGCGGCAATGATTTTAATGTTAAGTGCGTTGTCTTAGCTTTAGGTACCAAAATATCTGCTCGCAAAACCTTGGAGACGTCATTCATTCTATCTAGGGAGCCCAAAATGAACGGCAAAAATGAACAGTTCTCTATTGCAAGTGATCTCATGCCGTTCCTGTCATAATGCCAGCTATAATGCCCACTATATGTATAAACAGACCCCTTACAAGGGTCACATTCATACTTTCGTCATCTTTGGGTGAAGCTAGGCACTGCCTTTGAAGCACATTGTCAGCGTGACCCGGTGAGTTGTTTATGAGCTGGATACTCGTTGATGTCCACTTAAAATGAATTGAATAGTCGAGTCTAAAGGAGAGGTTTGGCCGTGTAAAGTGCAAGATTAAGGTGAATGACTGACTTTCAGTCCTCTGAGGAAGGCATTAGGCCGAAACGTTAGGCCAAATAAGACATTTATATCAAACCTGTCTGGCAAAGAAAGCAACTGACTACTCTAAAGTTTTCAAAGAGGGCCTCAAATTTTCGAGAACAGTCAGATAGTCTGCATTTGAATATTCCAGATAGACTAAAACACATAATATTTTGTTTATCCTCATCGGTATCCAATATATCAGGTCTAACCCGAAAGTATTATATTTTCCCTTTTTTTGAACGGCTGCCACAACTCGCAGACCAAAGATTTATATAAGATTTCGACATCACTTGATGCATTTTTCATTCTCTAACGAATGGTAATGCTTTTATTGCAGTGTATTGCAGGAGCTCCCAAAAAGCTATCAAAATCTAAACCCGAGTCAAAATTCGTCATTCTTTCAAACTTTTATACGAACCCGCTGAAGACGCCTAAGTGACTGGTGGAAAGTGCAAACCCATCAGGACATGAAACACTTTTTTCTCTCCCATAGTTAGCTTCTGCGAATTTACAAAATTACTTCTTTGAAGCCATAAAGTCCATGTTTGGTCATGTCAAAGCTCATATACAACAACCGGCAAGCAGTTCGGATCTCATTAAATGCAGCATTTCACCTCATTCCGATAAAAAGTGCTATTTGTTCCTGATTTGTAGAGTTCTTGGTAAGAAACTCAACATAGTTCTTGCTCCTAAACCCCTTCCAGGCTTTATGTACTCAGAAAATACGAGATTTGATATCGCGAAATCGCGAACGCCCATTTGCATTGAAGAATTAGTATTTCACTACAATTTATTTTTGGAAGCTCCAAATTTCGAAGATTATTGGTGTTTGACCGTTTGTGTCTGAGATAGGCTTAATTCGATGGTGTTGTTCAAAGAATCATTGAAAAAATTTCTTTTTCGAAAAAAAAAACAGTTGTTCTGTTACTTATAGGTTTTGCTCTTCCATCCATTACTTGGATGTCTTTGGAAGTTTAGTATTAAACTTCAAAGACATAGTAATATAGCGGAACTTGACCATGACAAAAAGCGTAGGTTTCAAATTTTGATCATTTTCTGTGAGTTTTTTCATTGTACTGCAGAAAAACCACTTGATAAAGGATGAAAAGATGCATGGAATGGTACTGAAATTTTCTACATATCTTTGGTCTGCTAGTTGTGAAAGCCGTTCAAAGCGAAAATAATTTGTGATGACCTAATACTTCATTGTAGGTCATAAAACGCGTAATTATTCTTCCTGGAAGCAATGCGGACCTCAATTGCAGCTTTTCCGCCGCTCATAGGCTCCCGAGAGACGAAATACGCGAGATAAACACCGAAACTGTTATCACATTGGCATAAGCTCTTTTGACATCTTGAGCGTTTCAGTTTTCCTATGTGTTTTAGGGGGCAACGCAATGGACTTAGTGTTCTAACTGTAAAGGTACAGCAACTAGCTTTTCAACGGACGCATCCTGCTACAGATCTTGCCCTTAGTCCCGAAATGTCATCCCTCTTGTTCGAGAGGCAGCCTAATCAAAGAAGTGAAGAAAAACTTGCAAAGGGTTAAAACGCAGACTTGGTACTTCGCATGAGATGATTTAGGCGATGCTCATGAACTAGGCGCACTACATGTAAGGCTTCAAATGGCTTTTAACGGCCTTAATGCGCGAGGGGATGCCAATGTTATCAGATACAGACTAATGCATGAAGAACTCGCCAAAACGTCTATGTATCTTCTCTGTCTGATCCACAAAACCAGATTTAACAAATAGTTTGTAATCATGTACTTTCTAGGTCTAGTAATTTTCCACAATTCAGTATTTCTTCCAATTTTTTTGCAATGCTTGAACCTGTAGACTTCCTCGTCCAATAAAATGATTGTAGTTGTTCACAAAACAACTTCACATTTCGTAAAAAATCACAAGACTTTCCCACGCCGAATGTGCATAATCGCGTCGTCCCTCAACGCCGCCACGCAAAATTAGGCGTGGTCGGGTTAAGAACTAGGTGCACAGAGGTGTCCCGCAAGAAGGGGTCCATCCTCGCGTGTTCTTCAACGCTTATACATTCGGGCTACCATGTATTACTGTTGACTTGGAGGTCTCGTGTTGTGACTCGCAGATTCCGTGCTACAGTATGAGATGTGTATGGCAATACTGTGTGGCGAAAAGCGCTAAATGAAGTTCAAAACTGATCACAAGAGTGGTCACTGCTCACTTCCAAAAAGCCAGGATGTTATCCATATTGGACCGAGTAACAGTAACTCAAAATTTGAAACTTTTAGGTGACTTCTATTTTGAGGCAGACAATATTGGACCGAATGACAATAACTCAAAATTTGAGACTATTAGGTGACTTCTATTATGAGGCAGACAAGTCTATAAGAAATTGTGGGTTTATAGTTGAAAATAACCTCACTTTTGATGAACATTGCAAAATGATAATGAATAAATCGACGAGAAACGTACAGAAGTCCGTCAGAGTTTACCGATGTAGTGTTACCGGTGTTACCCGTGTTACTCGTGTTACTAGTGTTGCTCATGTTACCCGTGTTACCAGTGTTACCATTATTACCAGTGTTACTCGTGTTATCCGTATTACTAGTGTTACTGGTCTTACTGGTCTTACTGGTCTTACTGGTCTTACTGGTCTTACTAGTGTTACTGGTGTTACTCATGTTACACGTGGTGTTACCGCTTCTACTGCTGTTGAGAAGTGAAATGATCACGAGTACAGTCCCATTTTTTCGTACGATACCTCATTGACTAGTGAGTATTTTACACTCATACGCAAATGAAGTTCGACAATTCTTAAAGTTAAGAGAATCTAATAAAACCGCATGGAACCCAATCACCTAATAACTCAATGAGCGCCGCGCCCCTACTTTACAAGGACTTTTAATGGCCATGATCGTCGATTGAGATGCATATGGGCTAAAACATTTTTGAATGATGATTTCAAATATGCAATTCGCTTTTATGGAACGATCCTCTGAAAGGAGTTATGGAAGCCTAAAGCTCCCGTTTGTGGGAGCTCCTAACAAAAGAAGCTGCCTAACTTAGGGCAAGGGACATAGATACAATACCGCTCATAATTCGTCCAAAAAGTCGCCGGACTGTGGCGGAGTGTGGCAGAGTGCGCCACAGTCCGGCGACTTTTTTTGACGAATTATGAGCGGTATTGTATTCTGAATCAGCGTCAAACGCTGATTCCAAATATGCTATTCCTAGCTGCCGAGCACCATTCCGAAACGAGTTATGGACTTTTTCCTGCGTGAAATTAGCATACTCATCACCTCACTGGCATCAAAAATCATCACCTAAGTGCTAATACACTTGCGTTAGGCTTCTTTTTAGAGATAAACGATATCTCAGCACTTTTTTCTTGCAAATTTTTATCTACAGGCAGCCTTCTCATGCTCTGTAATATGCCAATTTTGCGTACATACTAGAGTCTATTACGTACATTCTCTTGCTAATGTTTTTTGGTAATTTCTACAGCTTACCATTCATGTTTATATCTGTTTTTTTTTCTGATTCTGTTACGTCGCTATTAACGTTCTGCTCGAAACGTATCAGTTACAGCAACCTCTTCCTCATTTCAGGAAATTCATCCTAAACACTGACGAGATGACAGCTGGCGATGTAGTCGTAGTGACGGGTTTTACTGCATTTCAAGGTTTTACCGAAAACCCAAGTTCGGATATTGTGGATCTGCTAGAGAAGAAGAAAATTCCAGGTTTTTAGTCATATCCTCTTTGAAAACAAAGTCTTTAAGTACCATAGTGGCGATTTTGCTAACGGCTATAATAGCTGCAGTCGGTGCTTACATAACCGATGGTTATGCGACATTTCCGTGTCCAACAGAAGAAGCGGTGAGCGTTGGTCGCAGGCACTGTCGTTATATTTGAGTGGCTGTTTGGCTGGAATAGCTTTGGGACATACGCTAACAAAATTTTTGATTACCTTATGGGTGTCCGTATACGAATATGTTAGATGAGCATACACATCCCGCTACTCTTAATTACAAGAGAAAGGCACCAAGTCAACCTAGATTTTGTAACAAGTGATGTATGGCTTATCTCGATTTGAAACGCTATGTTTAAATCTGCATTCATTATCTGCTAAACGCTCTTCTAAAAAGTGTATGACTATTTCTATCATTCCGCAAAAGGAATGCCCCTGCAACAAAACTCGTACCTGGTGCCATTTGCGTGGAAAGCGTTACGCTTACCACTTCACCAACCATGCCTCAGCGACGGCTTGTTTTTACATAGTGGTAATGGGCGGCTTGCAGTCAGAAATGGTGTTTTCAGTAGACCATTCAGCAGATATTGAATGCAGTTTTGAGTTTAGCATTTCAAACCGAGATGAACCGCATATGTCTTGTTACAAACGGCTAGATCGACTCGAACCCTTTCCTTGTTAGGCTCTAACGACAATCTTTCTTCTGTAACGCAGCACTGTCTTTTACGCGCTCCTATAGCATTTTGAATTATTGTTCTGCGAAATGCCAGAGACGGCGATTGTTATGCAATTCAAAGGAGGCGTCATAGCTTCGGTTTATGAAGTAGCCAAGGTCAACTCCTTACAATACCAAAAGTAGCTCAGCATACTCCCTCCCCTCTGCGCATCAACTTATATTTTGCTTATATTTTTTGTATTTGTCCCTCTTTCTTCCTCTTCTCATTTGGATTTTGATTTAACATCTGCTAGTCATATAAATAATCAGGAATTTTACTTACTGTCTATCCATCAAGATTTTTAACTTCGTAAAAATGTCTTAGGAGCAATTGCATCAAAATCCTTGTCTCCATAGCACTGCGCTAGAGAAAGCAAAAACGTTGAGACTTGATTTTTTGATTTCAAGCTTTCGATGGAAAGCTGGTTACTGCAAAGATGGATGTTGTTTATGAGGAAGTTGAGGAGACCGTAAATAAATTATGGGAGAAAAAACCCAAGGTTGGTCATTCAGTGCATACTTGTATCTCCTAAATGCCATGAGATGGCATATGTTTACGCATTTTTCATCATTGTTGGCATTTTTCACCATTGTAACATTTTTTTCTCATTTTCATAAATTCGAAAATTTGTATTTAGTTAGTCGTACATCTGGGTGTCCATGGCGGTGATCGCCACATTAAGCTTGAAAATAGATCGTTTGGGAAGGGATATACTAAATATGATGTCAGAGGTATGCAAGCTGTAGAAGTGTTTACAACCTGTGGTTTGAGCAACCTCAATCAATTCCATATTTTATCGTTACAGGTTGCGTACCAAAAAATAATGTATGCCCGGGTTACAGCCGAAGGTCGTCCCCTACTCTGTACACATCGATAAATTGTGCCGCCATAGCTGCTCAGGTTTCGAATGAGATTAAGTGCGAAGATTTGGCAATCACGGATTCCGACGATCCTGGAAGGTAAGATTTTCATTTATTCTCGTCTTGTGTGCGCTGCAATATCCCAAGTTAAGCGGAAGTTAGGAAACTAAACCCGTTTTTTGGAAAACTATGAAATTATTTAATTAAGCTGTTTTTTACTTGTGTCCAAAAAACTTCATGGACCGCCACCGGTAAAGAGCAGTGTTAATGTAATCGACCTTTTGAATCATCACGACCAACTTATTGAGCTAGTTCAAAGCTATCCTTTTTTGAGACCTTTCAACAAGTTTTGAGTGAGTTTATATTAGGTTGGTGCAGAAGTTTTGTCAGTTCTTTCTAATGCATCGGCAAACTCGTTAGAATGAAGATAAACAAACGCTTCAAGCTGTATCCGATGCAGAATTTCTTCCTCTTTCCAGCTGCTAAAGTCCCATTGTGTTTCGTTACGACAATGAAGAGATATTTGTTGGAAATTACAACCACTCATTTTTACCATGTCCAATTTTCGTTGATTTTCAAAATTTTTATATGAGACTTTCGGAGGGGACCTAATAACCAGCAGATAGGGCAAACTTTTTGCCAACAGATGCAATTTTTTGTAGCCCTAAGGCTTGTCTTTCAGAATGTCTACGATTTATTTTTTGAAGTGACCAAATTTTACATTCAGCCTATTTTAACTTCGTAGAACATAAACTGTTGAACACTTCAGTTACCATCCGATATAACTTTTTCTCCTCCTTCTAACACTCGTCTTTTTCTGCCGAGACAGGCAAAATTTGTGGTGAAAATCGCAGTATTTCTCAATTTCAGGAGTGCGCACTGACGTAACCTACGTTTAAAAATCTTCATAATTGAAGCGAGAATCGCTCATCTACTTTGTAATGGTAGCGGTAGTAATAATCGAGTGTTGAAACCTCAGTATTCTGTAGTTTTTGAAGTGTTTGGTGCAATAACAGGTTATGCGGTTTTTCCAAAACACAAGACTTTTAGAATATTTAGCAAAAATCTGAAAAAGCAGCTGAAAAGAAAAAAAATTGCATAACCTGGCAAAAGATTTGCCCTATCTGGTGGCAATTAAGGCTCTTTCGAAAGTCTCATAAAAAAAGAAAAAATTAGTGAAAGTTGGACATGGTAAAAACGAATGGTTGCAATTTTCAGCGAATATCTCATCATTCTCTTAACAAAACACAATGCGAGTTTAGTAGCTGGAAAGAGGTAGGAATTCTGCATCGGATACATTTGAAGTGTTCGTTCATCTTCATTCTAGCGCGTTTGCCGATGGATTGAAAAACTGACAAAACTTTTGCACCGACCAACATTTCCAAAAAACCGATTTCTATAGCTGCCTTTTTCCGAGAATAATCGTCTAGTCGCACTCATAATGAAACCAATGAGAAGTTAGAATATAATTGCTACGGTACAAGATTTCATGACAATTATTGCATTTGTTTTTACACTATCCGGTTTCGGGGCTAAGAACTATGCCGGTAGTGCAACTTCCTTTGCCCCTCATCAGTAGTTTATTTATTTATTTATTGATACGTGCAAAAACACGTGAGTAGAAATAGTAAAATCAAGTCTTGCAATGCTAGAAAACCGGAGTATTAATGTACAAAAAGAATATCAGCAAAAGATATACATATAGTACCATTTACAGCACAAGACAATGAAGAAAATGGTTTCACGATTGGGAAATAGGACGATTTGTAAAAAATTTTGCTAATGTCTTTTGGAGAGCATCTTGTGCCAGTAGCCTGTTAACATCGGAAACTATTCTCACAGCGAAAAAATTGGACCTGAAAAGTAATTTTGTTTTGGGAACCCTTAGTTTCAGCGAACCTGCTCTAGTCTTGGAGTTGTAAACGTCAAAGAATTTTGATATATCAATTTTGCATTTTCCTATTAGCATCTTGAGAGCCATGGAGAGATCAAACTTTTTTCTTCTGAGGGCTAAACTAGGCAGTGATAATACTTTGTTGCGTTCATCGCTTCTAGGTATAAGAGAGTAGTTGGGACCCAAAAGTCTCAGAAATAATTTTCTGGTAAAGTTGTTTTGTACCCTTTCGATAGTAGCAATGTCTCGAACCTTATGTGGAGAAGTTACTGTAGTACCAAATTCGACAATAGGACGAATGTACATCTTGTAGGCATTAATTAAAACTTTAGCGTTTGTGGTTCTGAGGACTTTGAATAGATTGTAAGTTCGAGAGAGGGCTTTAGAGACAGTGTTGTTGTAGTGAGAAGTGAACTGAAGCTTTTCGGAAAATGTAAAACCTAAATCCTTCACTTCCTTGATCTGAGTCAGTTTGTTTCCATTCAGAGTATAGGACGACTCAACTTTTCTGACACCCAAAGACATTACATGAGTTTTCTGGGGGGATAGAGGCAATTCAAATTCTTCTGACCATTGATTAGCAGCTTCTAGACAGCACTGTAAGAGCTTCACATCATTTTCATTATGAATAACCTTAAACAACTTGATGTCGTCTGCATACATCACGCATTTGACATCTTGATGAGATTCAATGATATCAGGCAAGTCAAAGGTGTAAATAAGAAAGAGTACAGGGGAGAGGACTCCACCCTGCGGTACTCCACTAGAGATGGTATAGGCTCTTGAAAATTCATTACCGACACGAACTTGAAAGGTACGGCTGTTCAAAAAGTTCTCTATCCATCTGCATGTCATACCCTCCACTCCTATCATTCTAAGTTTAGATAGCAGTTTGGTGATTGGAACTTTATCAAATGCTTTGGAGAAGTCTAAGAATATAACATCAATTTGTTGTCGCTTATCAGCTTCAACAGTCCAGTCATTCATGGCTGTAAGGACTGCTGTCTCGACAGATTTACCTTTACAAAAACCATGTTGACATGGAGAAATAATGGAATACTTTTCTAAATGTAGTACAATCCGTTCTTTCAAAATTTTCTCAAATGTTCTAGCAAATATAGAAGTTATGCTTATTGGCCGATAATTTTTTGGATCGTTGTGGGGTGGTTTCTTTGGAATAGGGGTTACAAGAGAGTGCTTCCACCTGTCAGGAACTTCACTTCTCATATAGGACAGATTAAATAGAAATTCTAAAGGAAAACCAATTTCAGGGAGTACCTCTTTGATAAAAAACAAAGGTATTCCATCAGGAGTCACTGAAAAAGAGCTAGGACATTTGGAAAGGATTGTGACTATTTTCTCTCTTGAAAACCAGACAGATTTTTTCATTTCCGGAAATATTGGAGCTGGGTAAGAAGTTGCAGATGAACTTTTGTTATAGACTTTTAGAAATTCTTCAGCTAGTAGGTTAGCCTTGTCTGTGTCATGCAACAGAGATTTTCCAGAGCTATCCAGAAGTGGATATGTGACATATTTATCCACAAGATGAGTCCTCATATAACAAAAAAACCCGCTCTTATTTTTCGATAGGATAAGCTTTTTCTCCAGATGTATATGGTACTTGCGTGAAGCTTTCTCAAGTTTACTATTGAATTTTCTGAAAGCAGACCAAGCTTCAGTACTTCCGCAATCAACAGCACGATTCCAAAGCATATCTCGTTTTTTAATCATGCTTATAAGGTAAGAAGGTAGACTTAGTTGATTTTCCAAAACTCTGCGTAAAGGAATGAACTTTTCCACTGCGTGTTGTAAAACGGCGAGAAAAAGTTCATACATTTCATTGACGGTATCTAAGAGTGTAAAACAACCCAGCCAGTCAATGCCTGATAAATACTCTCGCACAACAGAGTAGTTCGCAATCTTGAAATCCTTGATAAGGATTTCTGTGGCAGGAGTATAAGGCACTCGGAGGGAAAAGTCAATTGTCGAGTGATCACTGCTACCAATAGGGGAGCATATCTCAATATCAATAACCAGATTAGGACGATTGCAAAAAATAAAATCAAGAACGGAATTTCCTCTAGTAGAGCCTTTGACAAGCTGCACAAAGCCATGGGTGGTAATAAAATTGGTGAAGATTTCTGTAGAGGTGCACTGAATCATGGAAGGATCTGAACTGAAATTAATATGAGGGAGATTGAAGTCACCTAGCAAGACAGTGGGACCTTCAAAAGCACTGAAATCACTGAGTGCCTTTGTTAAATTGATGAGGTCCATGGCGCTACAGTTTGGTACCTTATAGATTAATATCAATCGAATTTTTTCGCTTGAAAACAGTAGTTCGCATACTAAAATTTCATGGGAGTTAGCTATAGATTCACTGAAAACCACATTTATTGGAATAGTTTTTCGGATCAAAACAGCAACTCCGCCTCCTCTACGGCGGATTCGGTCACACCTGATTCCGGTGTATATTGATGAAGCAATACCAAGTAAAGCTGAGAGTTCGTTGTTAGTTATAGTTCCCAAGGAAGCTTCCAAAAATTTTGGAAAGAAAGGTATTTTATGAAATGTTAGCGGAGTGAAAGGCTTAAAATTTTTAAACATGATAAGTCGGCATAATGAAAGTCAACGATAACCACGAGTGGCACGGCAATTGATTGTAACCTCATATTCGAATGAGATCATCTTTCAATTCTTTTTGATTTATCGATCTGAAATGCATCACTATATATCATTCATTCCATGACTAGGAGACGCGAGGCCGCATTGCACACCTTGTCTATACAAGCCTAATTGTGTACTTAGCATGATTATACTTGTTGTTTATCTCTTCTAGATTTATTCATCCTTTAAAAACAGGGAAGAACAAACTCAAACTTGTCAAGACAATGTCCGCAGTGCGGTCTCGCGTCTCCTAGATAGAATAGAACAGCTGCACATTGCTGAAATCAACACCTCAAAGTACAAGATAATGCTTTGTAATCAACTTTCACGATAAAATCTTGCCGGAGTTAGCTAAAAATTTGGCTTTGGTGTATTTTGTGGCAAGTCTTTGGTACTAAATTTTCAGTTCAAGCTTTTAACATATAATTCAGGTTGTAGCAAGTCTTGAGACACTTTAACTTCCTACGGCGCTAAGTCATGTATTTCACATTTTCAATAGGAGTCCAGGAAACCATTCGATTGAGCAAAGCAAGCCCTACAAGGTGATCTGCAAAAGTTCGCCCCAACTCAACCCATTCTAAGTTTGCATCCAAAGTGGGTCACACAGGCTCAGAAAATCGCGAAAAATTCATATCTTCGCTTAAAAAAATCCTACGAATCTTCAGCTTACTCACAAAAATTGCTCACAACATCAAACACTCATATGTACCGTTTCCGAATTTCTTCCTCATATAGAAATTGAAAAAACAATTTTCGAGTTTTCACAAAAACAAAGCTAAGCTGTTCCCACTTATGTAACTGTATTCTACCATCCTTTAGAGGTAAAACCGTAAATTTTCAGCTTTCCACAAGCCTGTAGTATACAATTACATAAGTGGAAACAGATTAGTTTCGTTTTTGTGAAAACTCGAAAATTCTCGTTTTCTCGATTTCTATATGAGGAAGAAATTCGGAAACGGTACATATGAGTGTTTGATGTAGTGTGCAATTTTTGTGAGCAAGCTGAAGATTCGTAGAATTTTTTTTCAAACGAAGATATGAATTTTTCGCGATTTTCTGAGCCTTCAGTACGATTCACATTTTGGATGCAAACTCATAGTAGGTCAAAGCTGGGGCGGACTTTCGCAGACCTTCTTGTAGGGCTTGCTTAGCTCTAACGAATGTTCCCCGGAGCAATATTGTAAATGTAAACTGCATGACTTATTGCCGTAAGAAGTTAGAGTGTCTCAGGGCTTATGTTACAACCTAATTGTTTATTAACTTTCGATCGCATCGGAATTCGAAGAATTTACTTATCTGCATGTAACTTCTTTCACATTTGATCTGATGACATTTTATGAATATTTTATACACTACACTGTCCATACAGGGTAATCTTTACCTCAATTTCAGGTACTTGTGCGCATACTCGTATTACTTGTCCCTCTCCCACGATAAATCTCGAAGTCTTTTCATTCACGTTCCTGAATTCGACGAAGTTTGTACATTGGAAGTCGTCACCGAAGCAATTCAGAAAATTATCCTTGCTATTCTGAAAACTCTGAACTGATTATACTTTTGACTTAATCTGACACAGAAACATACTCAAAGTCAGTACTATCCAGTCAGTGCATAACTAGCAGTAAACATCTAACTAGTCAAACTTCGTAATTGTGCACTTCCAGCGCCTTTTTTTCTTATACATATTAGGTTGGCATATAAGTTTTGCACTTGTCCCATAACTTTCTTCTTAATCAATGTCATTCCTTGGTATTCCTGGTAAAATGTGATGTAAGCCACAAGCCTGCGTAAACCGTTTGATTATTGATAAGTCGAGAAAATTTGAGCATTTTTCGAAAACCGTTGAAAATCGAAGTTTTACGGTTTTTTGGCAAACCTGAAGTCGTACAAAATTTGTATCAAACATTTCACAAAGGAATCATAGGCAGCATGTATCTAGAGGTTGACACATTAGGATCAGTAAAAAAAGAAGTGAAATTTGAAATAAACTAAGACAAAGCGCTTTTCAGAAGTAGAACAAGTCAAATGCTTCAAGTTTTGAGGGCAATCTGTCAATAACTAAGCTGCAAAACCTCAGAATTCGCTAAAACTTTGTACAATAAGGTAATCCCTTACGGTGCACACGAATATCATTACTCATTTGTCGCTAAGGTAACAATCATTTTTTGATTTCACGAAAGAGGCCTTTTCACGCGAAATGGGTCACATTTTTGTGATCAGCATGCCAAATAATCCCCATAGGCAAAATTTCAGCAAATTTTGACGCAATCTAAAAATTTTCCCATAGTACGGTAAAAACCTACCGTAACCCTTACATAAGATGGCAAAATTAGGCAAAAATGTCTGCATTTGCAGTTTACATCATGATTTTTAAGTTGCCAGAAAATGGATGCGCTACGTTCCAAAAGACAAAAGTATATAAAAAGTTGCAGTACTTATGCGCCAACCTAATAGATTTTTCAGTGAAATGACGAAATTGTGATGATGTTCGAATTTTCATGAACATTTACAACTTGCCTACTAAGTTTTTGTGATCTTGTGTAGTAAATCACTATCCTAGGTCCTAATGTCTGTTTGTCTAATTGCAAGTTCAGAATTATTATGCTACGTAAATGTTTATCATAGCACACGCACACTGGTTCCGGCTATAAAAGCATATATTATGTCTTTTGTTCCGCTTTTCCTGCAGTCAGATAAAAAGGCATTATCATGACTTATAGTAAGCCGCTTATTTGTCGGTCTGTAAGTCTGTCTGTTACGAAATTACAGTGAGGAATGATTTACTATACTAAACATCATGTGAGGTTAAGATAGCGAGTATGGTTCATTTCTAAGTACGGCTCTCATATTGCAGTCAACCGAACAATGATTGGAGAGACAAGCTCTCAGAGAGGGAGTTCCACGGTTCATGATGGTCAGTGCGAACCTCTGCGAAGCAGAGGTGAAGCACTGGTCTCATTTATGGTCCTTAAAACAGGCTGTCGTCGTATTTATCAACGGATTTGAGTCCTGAAACTATATCAAAATAAAGTCTACCTTGAAGCTAATCAGCTTAATTTGTAGACGCAAGCCAGTAATAAACGTTTGCATAGAAAAACAGGGGAAGTGCGAAAAGAAAAGATAGAAATCCAAGACTATTCACTCTTTAGAGCCTATTTGTGGCAGGCCCATAGAGTCGATAGGTGGAAAGATTTCTCTGTCCGCCTTCACTTTGGGGCCGGCATCTGGCTGACTTCTTTCACCTGAGATTGAGACTAGAATCAAGGCATAACGGCAGAATCAAACAGTTGTTACAACAGCACCGTTCGTTTGAAAAGGAAACGCCAGTTGCTCTTCTCCTCAGACATTAAGACTGCAAGGAGCATCGAAGCATTGTTTTGTTTAAAAAAACGCATACTTGAGACCTCCTGCGCACTCACGTAGCGTTGATAACGAAACATAATCAAACATTGAAAGAAATCTGATTCTCTGAAATCGTTATCTAAATCTGAATGTAAAAAATCTGAATTAATCTGAATCCGAATGACTTTGATACACATTATCGCAAAAAAGAGTGGAGCATGAGTAGAAAATCTGGACTGGCCAATGAGGATGCATGTTTAGTGACAAGAGCCGTACCATATCTCCTTTAACTAAAGAGAGTAATAACTAATAAAAAAGCCGCTAGATCATTCGTTCAAGCTTTCGAATCATATCTTTGAAAAAACCTTTTTGGCTTCAAAAATGATAAAAAATGATAAAAATGCTAGATAAAACTGCTCATACCTCGCTTCATAGAAAAATTAGGAAAAAAGAGACGGACTCGGTCTCCCGTGTTCTTAGCTTTCGAATGGTATCCAAATTGCTGGAGCATAAAGCTTTAACAAAAAATTTTTGCTCCTGCAACCCATAGAAGCCAAGCTATTGGGGGGAGGTGGAGCAAGCTAATAGTGAGTATCTCCACTTCATTATTGAAAAGCCACTAGTTTTTTTCAGTTAAAAGCTGTATACCATTGAAAAGCTCGCGAAACGAGGACTAGACATAAACAGTTTTTTCTCCAGCTCCTCTACTCAGGGATATATGGCATTTTAGCTGAAGACGTAGTTTAAGATTCCTGCATAAAAAATAAATGAAAATGCCTGATTGTCCAACTGTCTACAGAGGAAGACCTTGCCAATAAACGTAGACCGTCACTCTTTTTTGTAGCTTTCCTCTACCTTTCAAAAATAGAGCGCAAACTAATCGCTTATCAGCTGATGCTGCAGCTAGATAAAAAATTTTATATGCGAATTCACAAGATAGCGGGAGAAAAAGAAACGGTCCAGGTTTGCTCTACATTTTCAAGCTTTCAAACGGTATGTCGATTGACGAGACATAAAGCTATCCTAATTCAAAAAAGTCTTTGTTCATTGACCTTTCAATACCGAAACATTGAGAAATTCATCATATTACCTCTGTACCATTTATTTTCTCTCTTTGCACTTCCCAGTCCCACTCGACTGTAAGCTTACGTCCACATTCACTCAAGGCTCAGTTACGCCCCCTTCACTTTCTTAGGCTGGAATAGCCGTAACCCCCTTCACCTGGAGGAGACTCCTGCTCCTCCTATCGCACCTATGGTAGGGAGAATAGGGGAGGGGGCTGGCGGAAGGCGAGCAAAATGAAATCAGCGCATCAAATCTCTCTCACTTCTACTCAGATGTCATGAAGTTATGTTGCCCTTCCTTTCTTCCCCCATCATCCTAGTCTGCCGCCTTACCACTTTGGCACAGAATAGTTTTTGAGAGGCACAAAATTTGAAGTGTTGTCATCCAAATCGCACCCATTTAAAGGCATTGTGTATCTGTTGTGTTTTACATAGACATCATCCGCTTCAGTCTTTTTCGTAACTTCATCCTTTTTCTTTGTGCTTTCAGAATTTGCTCAAGATTATCAAGAGTAGAAATTTCGACTCAACTTAATAAAAATTTGGTAAACACAGGAACGCCACAGTACACTTTGTCGCTCTAGATTATATTATTTAAAAAAACAGTAGTTTGCATGTCCTTTCCTCACGATGTAGACGTCGTAGCGATTGAGTAACCAGTTAGATGAATGACGGTACAAAAGATCTGTAGCTCTAGGGTCCGTCCTTTGCTATAATGGACTAAATCTTGTTTTTGTTCTGCTTTTTGGAGGGGCGTGTTTCCAAGCCTCAGACTGAAAGATGTAACAAATTTCCTAGTGTTCTTATCCGAAGACTATCGTGTTCATGTGTACCGAAAATAGATACAATCGACTTCATGTGTACCGAAAATAGATAAAGTCAACCAACGGGCTACTTTTGCGCAAAGTCCATGCGGAGCTGGTCCAGCGCCTTCCTTTCACCTTGCTCCACTGCTTTTGGTCGTCCATTTCTTGCTTTCGATGCACCAATAATCAGCGTTTAAGTGGTGTACAAACAGTTTACGATTTCATGTGGTAGAAGGAGCAGGGTCGTAATGGGCACGACCTAGTAAGGAGGAGGTCGTACTTGACCGTTGTGTGCCACACCTCTTGGTTTACCTTAAGCATTTGCTAAACTGCGCGTAACAGAAGAGACTTGCTCATATACTATATTGTGTGTTAAAAATTGTTTACTCACAAATTCTGATAGTATAGCAGTTTAATCAATACAATAGACTTGAACTTTCAACATTTATCAAAACATAAGCTTCGGCAGGGCTTTCTATGGGCAAAACTTGAAGGCAGCGGTCATGCAAGTTGGTTGCTGAAGTTTATATTTCGACTATTTTTGTTTTTTTACATGTCGAGCTACGCATTGGTTTCTAATTATTCAAGCACTTCCGTGCTTTTTTATAGGAAGTATGCCCTTTCTGTAAAGCTTTTGAAATCTAGATTACTTGTACACATTCGTTGGCTCAAGAAATGGAAACTAGAGTTTGAAAACTGATCATTCGGAATTCCATTGGTTAAAACTGTTAAAAGCAAATCTCATCACTAACTCAGGCTAACTCCTAAGGCTGACCATACATTACCAGTATGACCCATGTTTCTAGTGTTACAATGTCACTCTCGTTACTAGCGTTACTCGAATCATAGAATCGTTATCGGAGTTACCCATGCTATCCGTGTTACAGCATTACTCGTGTTACTAGTGTTACTAGTGTTACTCGTTTTACTCACCAGTCAGTGAGATTGCTTTCTAGAATGAGACTGTATTTGTGATCATTTCACTAATCAACAGCAATGAAAGCGGTAACTTTAGTAAGAGTAGTAATACGGGTAACACTTGGTAACATGATTAACCCGAGTATCACTAGTAACAGGGGTAACGCTGGTAGTGTATGGTCAAAGTCTTAGAGACTTTTTCGTTATCGTTGGCTGTCTGAAAACATTTTTAAGTTTGAGTCGAGTTTGATTTACTTTTCAACCCCAGAAATTTGGCGATGGGTATCCCCAGATTGTACCTGGGGCTTGCCTTGAATGATTCCGACAATGATTCTATGCGCCTACAAACAGATAGCCATAATTCGCTTGCTTCTGACACCTCGACTTTATTATGCACTTCGTTATCTTTCTCATCTTGGTACTCACTCTCAGATACATTCAGCATACCGTCTTTGGTTTATCATAAGCAGAAGATAGCTTCAACATTCTTTAGAGGACAGGGGTGTCTTGCTATTCATACCCAGCCGCGCTCAGGTAGGTGTGATGTGAGGCAACCATGAACTTTTGATGTAGGCAAAGTATTTGTCATTCTGGCTTCAGATTCTAACCAGTTCAGTCGCTAAATCGCAATACGCGATCAGCTTCTGTCGGATATAAGGGAGCGGCTAATCAATTCTGCTCTATATAATCGTTGGACTCTTTGAAAAGAGTTTCACATACTTTATTCAAGTTTAGCTGTAAAAAGCAGTACATAGATTTTACCAACGTGGAAAATGTACTCCCCAATAGTTGCGAATACTTGAATGACATAAGAAAACGAGTCAAAAGATAGACTCGATGTGAAGCAGCCGACTTTTACTCTGCTTTAGGAACGCGGACGAACAGAGGGCCATATATTTTATACAGGAACCATTGGATAAAATCATCACGTTTTCCCCATCCGAAAAGTCTCCACCCGTTTCTGATATTTCCTGTTTTATCTATGCGCTCGATGCATTTCTTGATTTCGTTGTACTTCTTGTTAAATTCCTCGTTGCTTAGTCTTAAACAGGCATAGATGTCGGGTTTAAAGCACTATAAGAGCGAATATATTTTGCAGAAATGATTACGCAAACGTTGAAACTCACATCTTTATAGACTACATGCTCAAAGAGCCCACAAAGTTCTTCCTCCTTATCCATACGAGACTTTCTCCCCCAACAGCCACAGCCCATAGCAACATGTATACTCGCCAGGACCAGGATGAAGATTCTGTAGTCCATTCCCTGAAATATTATACGCCTTAAAGGTAGCGTTTAAACCGCTGGAGAAGTGCATGTCAATGCTATATAGTGGTAGACTGAACATAGAAGTTTCACTCTCATTCGAAGTGCGGTCTCGAAAGTATAGAGCAACTTAAGAAAACGAGCAGTTTATATAATTTGTGGCACACTCTTGGTGTGCAAAGAACTTTTCCTTATTTTCAATGGTTCAAAAATTCCATTTTGGACACAGCATCTTCGAGATATACGGTGATGAAAGAATAATTCTGTTTGCACTCAGCTTATAGTAACAATTCAGAAGCATGCTATCACCACGAATGTTAGTGTGCTTAACTAGATATAAAGGGATTCGATTTTGAACTTCCTAATTCGAGATATCAATCCAATCAATGCCTAGTTTTGCTAGCACCTATTGCTTATCAGAATAAAAAAATTTTTGAGATGGTCCAAGCGCTCGTGTATGGAGCTTTGTTAATGCTTTTCAAGACAATTTTCATACTTTTAGCCTGAGCGTTATTATTAGGTTGTTACATAAGTCTTGTTACACTCAACTTCTAACGGCGATAAGTCATGTACCTCATAATCTCTGCAAGACTCCAGGGTACCATTCGATAGTGCAAAGCAAGCTCTACAAGATGGCCTGCACAGTTTCACACCAAAATCGACCCACGTTAACTTTGAATCTGAAATCTAAGTCGTATTGAAGGCTCAAAAATTGCGAAAAATTCATATCTTTGTTCAGAAAAACCCTACGAATCTCCAACTTGCTCATAAAAATTGCACACTATATCAGACACTCACATGTACCGTTGCTGTATTTTTTCCTCATCTAGAAATCGAGAAAACGAAAATTTTCTTGTTTTTACAAAAACAAAGCTATGCTGTTTCTTTTTATGTAGCTGTATACTACAAGCCCTTATAAGTATAACCGTAGATTTTCAGCTTTCCGGAAGCCTTAGTTTTCGAAAAATACCTGGTTTAGTATTGAACACCAGAGTGAAAATAGCTAAATTCGATATTTTTCGAAAACTAGGACTTCCGGAAAGCTGAAAATCTACGGTTATACTTATAAGGGCTTGTAGTATACAGCTACATAAAAAGAAACAGCATAGCTTCGTTTTTGTAAAAACAAGAAAATTTTCGTTTTCTCGATTTCTAGATGAGGAAAAAATACAGCAACGGTACATGTGAGTGTCTGATATAGTGTGCAATTTTTATGAGCAAGTTGGAGATTCGTAGGGTTTTTCTGAACAAAGATATGAATTTTTCGCAATTTTTGAGCCTTCACTACGACTTAGATTTCAGATTCAAAGTTAACGTGGGTCGATTATGGTGTGAAACTGTGCAGGCCATCTTGTAGACCTTGCTTTGCTCTATCGAATGGTACCCTGGAGTCCTGCAAAGATTATGGGCTACATGACTTATGGCCGTTAGAAGTTAAGTGTAACAAGACTTATGTAACAACCTAATATTAAGGATGGAAAATTACATGCAGAGGCATACCGAGGATTTCCGTTTCGGGGGGGGGGGAGGGGGCAAAAAAAATTTTGGATGAAGGTGCTTGGTGTTAGCCGCGCGTCCCCCCCCCCCTCCGTACGCCAATATCTTTGAAGAGTGAACCAGACAGCTTGTTAGCTGTATTTGACAAGCACTGTACCTTTTGAAAATTTGTGATATCGTGTTGTTTCTCGAGAAGAATTTGAAGAGCAAAAAAGTTACGAGGCAAAAAATCTCGGACGAACTCTAAGTAGTCACAACTTAAGAGATTGTGGACAAGTTCTGGAAACTCCAGCCTAAGATACCGTCGAGTAAAGTTACTGTACTGGAGATATATCACTGCTGGCGCATGATCAATTATGCAAATCTTGTCAGCTTCTCATAGTCATTATTTTATTTCTCATAATATGCTTTGCTACAAAATGGTTATGTATTATAGTCATGTATTTGAGTATGTGACATAATCATGACTTATAATAACGGGCTAAGGGTTGTTTACGTCTTTTTGTGTGTGTGTCTGTCCGTTACGAAATTCGTAGCGCGTGTTCCAGCCAACGTCCTGAGCCCAAATTTTGCGTAGTGCACGCTACCAGCATGAAAGCCACTATACAAAAGCATGAGCGGATCCGTTGCGTGGATCCGTTGAAAATTGCGCGTCAAACGGATCCACTTGGCTTCTGTCCAGCAAATTTGGGTCCGTAGTACTACTTTTTGCAGAGTTATGGATATATTTGACAAGTTAATGTGCAAGCCATGGACTTTAGTCTAAAAAAGTGATGAAAAGTCTACTACTTTACGAAAACGGCGCCAAAAAGCATTGGATGTGTAAACGGTCAATTTTTCGAGATTTTACCTGATCATTTGAAAAGATTTTTGCACAGAGATGTAGCCCACCATGTTTATTGTCCTTATGGCGACTATGAAACCATGAAAATTTCAAAAACTTATTCAAATTTGCATTTTTTTCCTTTGGTAAAGATTTCATCCACGCGAAAATACCGATTTCACTCGAAAAACCTCTAGGAATGAGTAGCTGTTTACGAATCATTCGTAATAGCCTACAGAGCGCGGTGAGTTTCAATCTAATTATTATGCGGGAATGAGTAAGGCATAGATAAAGTAGGGCCAGTGCGAGCCTCTGCCAAGCAGAGGTGACGCACTGGTACGAAATAACCAGCCGTATGACGCTATCCGTCAAAATCGGCTAGAGCTCGCCATTCAATAGAAAAAGACGTAATTAGCATTTTATTTTCCAAAGTCCGCTGGCAAACGGGCATCTTTTCTCTTACAGGTCGGAAGAAAGAAAGAAAAATCTGATTATTGGCGCAAAGGGGAAAAATCAAATTGTGTGGATTACGTTATGTAACGGTAAGGGAGCTGATGAAGGCTTCATGAGACGAGCTTATATAACGAACACCATAACTGACAGAAAGCAATTTAAACAATAGAGGTTAAGCAAATTACTAGCGAATGTATTCATTAACCATGCACTCTCTGTATCAGCAACTGTCCAAACGGAATCACGTATCACCTGGAATATGAAGTTTACCAAATCTGTCCTAGGATTATGTGGTTTAAGCAAACGAACAAACCAGCGGTACAGTTCTGTGCGGCACAGCTGGACACATTAAATAATCCTCAGTTGTATAGTAAAAGAGTTTCTGTAACCTATTTTGATGGATACAGCTGTAGAAGACAGTGTACTTCATTATTCTATACTTTGTAGGCAAACTCACGCAAAAGCTGTTTATGGGCCAGCTTCGATGTAGTACTTGGTGTCTATTTACATGTCTGATGTTTGTACTCTTGAAGGCAATGTCCGGACAAAAATTCGATTTTGAGATTTTGTGCTTATTCGGACCTATTCGTTATGCTGAATCCGAAAATCCACATTGGAGAGCGCGAAAACGACGAAAAAGGGCTCTAGGAGTATGGAGATCATCATGTGGGTGGAGTCTTTCCCACGATGGATACACGCTTCCAGCTTCCGGAGCGATATTGCCGGTTCCGGTTAAGTGATTCGTCACTTGGGCGATGGCATTGTTAGGGTGGCTAGCGGAATTGAGATGCTCCCGAGGCTAGGAGGTGAATTCAGTGGGAAAGACCCGCCCCTGCTGATTACCCTCCTGCGTTAGAGCCCTTTTTTGTCGTTTTCGCGCTCTCCAGTGTAAATTTCCGGATTCAGCATAGCGGCTGAGCCCGGGTAAGCACAAAATCTAAATCGACTTTTTATTTGGACACTGCTTTTGAGCTCTGTTAATTCTAAGTTACAACCAAAATTGTTCAGGAAATTTCTATCTGTAGCTAGCAATTGGCTCGTCTTGCTTTGAAAGAATGAATTCTTTGCACACGAAGTTTCTAAACGTTGGAGTCTGAGTTACAGGATTGGCTACAGGGCCCGGCATGAGTTCATTTCTAGCCTTTTTAAAAACGAAGTCTCTTTACTTTGGCGAAGTTTTACGAAGTCCCTTTTGACTCTCAGCCCTAAACGTAAAAACCCTCAAAAAACGAAACGTTGCCTGCAATTTTCGGGCACACGATATTCTCTTTGCTTTTTCGCCCCAGAAACCGAAGTCCACCCTACTTCCAATGATCTGCGCCGGGCCCTGACTGGCTAGTGACAGTCTTAGACATTCGTTTGAATGAGAAGTTATGGGCATAATTAGCTGCGACTGCGACTAGATCTGCGCACTTTGTCCAGCTCAATTCTTCCCCATCTTCTTAGTTACTTACATAAACTGTTGAGTTATGAAAAAAATTCGCAGTTGTAAAACATTCAGGAAATGGCAGAGGAAGTCTGATGACTACACATGTTAGAAAGAATAGGATGCGTAGATTTGGTGTTAACGTTTGTTCGTTGCGAAATCCTTTCAAAGGTTCAGGAAAAACGTCTTTTCAAGACGTTGGACTTGAGTAGCAGTGAAGGTGTGAAGAAATTAAAAATAAAGAGGTGCATATAGGGTGCAGTATTTTTTGGGCTGTAAGTTAAAAGAGCTCTGACTTACAATTGACGCAAGCAATTCCAAATACTTGTCAAAAAATTGGACCAAACTATCTTTGTTTTCATTACTCATGGACCAATTCCAATCTCATCTTCTTATGTACCATTTGACACTTTTTAGCAGTGTTATAGTGTCGGTTACATCGAGGTCATCCTGTCAAGACCGAACTTACTTCTTATTTTTTGCGTTCTCTGCTATGAGATAATCTTATGCGACCACCTCAGTAGGTTAATCTACATGTTCATTATAATAATTTATGACATAAAAAAGCTTTTCCTGTACAACACTATCACCTCGCAGAAAAGCATTTGTGCATTTCTGCTTAGAGGAGCACTTAGGTTGAGGAATTTACTGAAATCAGTTTCTAGACAAGACAGTGATAGAATGTTTCTTGCTAGAGACGTCTGCAAAGAACAAGCTCACTTCAACTTAAAGGGAAGGAAGGTTGGTCAAAGTGGCCTTTTGAAATGAGATGTACACTATCTTGTAGAGCTTGGAAGG